CGCGTTTATGCAAATTCCACCTTTTTTCGATGTAACTAAAAAAAAAAAACATGGAACTTGAAAAGACAGATTTGTCTCATCTTTTAACCCATCCAATGGACAATGAAAGATTTATTTTCAACGCAATTTATCTCTACGCGCTCGATATTTCCAACATATAAATTTCTATAAGATGAATAAAGAGAACGGATCAAGTTTTCCACGCGTATTCAATTTTAAATGTACTTTACTTCGAGAAATTATTTAACAATATACAAGCCGGTTTCAATAATGCATTTCAGCGTCTGACAACTATCCAATTCCAATCTAATTTCTCACACATACACCGATACATTTAAATACTTTTGAGAGACTATAACCTGTAACCTAATTAAGTTTCCATATTTTGATCCTGAAAAAAAAAAAAAATATTTCTATTACCGCGATCTCGATTAACGCTCGCAAAAGTGTCGCTTATTAGTCGATTTAAAACTAATTTCCCCCCCTCCTCTCTTAATATTTGTCGTCCGTGGAAAAATATGAGTTTTCCGGTTTTCACTTTGGATCGAATATTGACCAATATTCCATATAAGATAAGATAGAATCAGATGTTGTTCGAGAGTTATATTTTCGAGAGTTATATCAGCGTATCCAGAATCGATTTACCTTTATTATTTTATATTACGAATAAGTAGATACGATCTTCGAGACCACTCGATTTCGATATTTCTTTTTTTTTTCTTTTATTTATCTCTCTCTTTCTCGAATTGACAACATTCGAATATATCGCGTTTCCTATTAGATCGAAGGGAAAGTTGCGTGTCACTTTTTAAACCCCGGTCAAATAAAGAATTTTCAATTGATAGATTCGTTTTGTAATATCCCTCGTTTTATATATTTTAAGTTGAAGATTAGATCAAACGATTAGATGTAAAAAATATATCGCAACTCGAGCTTCAATTACAAAGATGGATTTGAAAGAGGAGAGGTTATAAATGCAACGATTCTGAAAGAGAAACATATATATAACATATATATGAAACATATAAGAAACATATATAAACAGATATATATATGTAGTTTGAAATTAATGTTACGAGTGAATGTAAGAACGAATGAATGATTTAACGAATGATCAGAATTATAATAATAACGTTGTTTAAATAATAAATTAGTTAGTATTATGCAGAAGAATTGTGAAAAAAAATTCACAAAATATTAATATACTTACGTGTGTAGTTATGTAAATATGTTTGCAATTTTGCGATACAAAATATCGAAAATATTAATGTTCTGTCGAGACGATTATTCTTCGATTATAAAATATTAAATACCAGTTTATCATGCAAAATTGAAATGACGAGTATGCTATTTCAAAATCGATATTACTTTCTCCCAAACCGAAACCAATAACATCGAAGTGTAAACATTGCTAATTTTAAGATGCTATTCGTATTTCGTAACGATATAGAAATAGATTCGCGTTGAAAATTTCTAGGATATGAATCACGTGTCGTTTGTTGATATCGACAGAATTAACTTTCGAACGATATTATTTTCAGCAGTGCTTTCAGATAAACTGTATTCCATCGAGTATTAAGTTCGCTTCTTTGCTCTCTGTTTACAGTATTGAAGGAATTTTAAAAATAAACCTATTGTCGTATTGTTAATATTAGAAGATACGTAATATTTTACGTATATCTTCGGCGAAATATTAATCGATATCTTAGATTTTCGATCAAATTTGAAAAATGGATCAAGAATTTTAGAATTATTTTTAACAATCACTTTTTTTATTATGGAATTAATTCCAGAATTCATTTTATTAAATTAATTCAACGTCATCTTATTTAACACAAAATTAAAAATAAATTCTTCGATACAAAATCATTCGTTAAATATTAATCAATCAATAATCCTCGTTAATTTCCATTATTATGTAAAAACTTTTTTGTAAAAATTTATTCAACTATTCTCCTAACTTGTTGTTGTAATATTAATATTATCATTAATTTACAATTAATATCAATTACAAATTGATATAATATCCGTTCTTCCTCGATCCAATTAAATTAACAATATATCAATTAATTTGATATCGATTCTATTCATTCAAAACGCATTAGTTCGACTTAATTATCACGTTGCTACATCACCCACCTAGTTAATAAAACCAATTTACGATTGTTTACATTGTAAATAAACTGCCAGACTGTCGATTTATGGCTGGCCAAACCGTGAATATCTTTCCATTTCTAAATATACATATTACTTGTAATACTTTTTAGCCAAGATGTGACGTGAATTCGCAGGATCCTGTCACGAATTAAAAAGAAGAAATCGAATGGCGAATGAATAAAGCGAATTTTTAAGTCAAAAGCTATTCTCATCTTCTTGTTCGATTTTTTTTCTTTTCCATCCAATAATCCAATAAGACGAATGAAAAGGCTTTAATTGTCTCATCTTGCCTTACGTTTCATTCCTTTTTAGAAAATTCGTGCAATTGAAACAATTTATAAATGCAAAATGGAGTACAAGTTGAAGGAAAGTTGGAAAGAATTTCGCGGGAATTTTGAAACAGTCGAAACTGTTTATCCGTTTTAAAAAATGTTAAAATTCTTTCAAGATGATATATTAATCATACAAGTAATATTTATATCATACCATCATACGATAAAAATTGTATCATGATTGATATATCCAATCAATAACATTTTAACTCGTAATTATTTTCGTAATAATTTTAACAAAGGCTCGAATGTCGAAAAAATGGAAGACACACAGGCAAATGATGATTTTCTTATTAGAAGGATCTCGTTTCGATTATTTATTATTATTCCATCAAACATTAACGTATATATTAGATGATTACATTGTAATTAAATTCCAATTTTAATTTTAATTTTACATCGTCTACATCGTCAACAGTAATTATTAAACGATCCTCGTTTTTCAAACTGGTTCCAAAGATAACCCTTCACTTGTCGTAATTGCGAGTGTGATAATAAATAATTCATTGCTAGATTTTATTATGTTCAACACAGTTCACCTTATATAAATTGTATTAGACGTAGCGAAATTAAGAGATAATCTATGAAAAATCATTAAATAACATCCAAGATAAGCAGAATATTATCGATATCTAGATCTACGTAGAACACTGATTGAAATTAACATTCTTCGATTGTGCTGCTTTTTAACCTTGATATTACTTGAATCGAATCAATATCGTATCTGTATTATTATCACTATATCTTATTTAGATAATAAAATCATTAATTACTTACTCAGACAAATCAATGCAGTATTAAAGAAAAAAAAAAGATATATAAAAGGTATAAAAGAGTTTTCAAATGTCTAGTTTTCTATTTCTATATGCATCCAATTAATCGATAACATTTGGAACACCATAGTTTTGGATTTCGTTGCATTTTTACAATTGTTTTTGTACATATCAAAAGTTATCTGCAGAGGATTTTTGATGCTGGATTGAATGTGTTAAACGAATAAAAGGCATTCATTCTGATTACTTTCAAAATAACAAGATAATGACACAATGTAACAACGTGTTCAATATTCATTATTATTATGTGTTATTTGCTTTTTGCTTTTTTTCACGATTGTAAGAAAAATGTATAATTTCGCATTAAGTTTTTAAAAAAACTTAAAATTTGTTGTACAATCGATTATATTTTATAATTTTTTGTTACTTGTACAACATTTAATTAAAACGACATTATGATTGCATCGAAATCATTAACATGAAAATATAACAATATTGTAACAATATTGTAATAAATTCCTAACCTAGCTGCATTAAAATTCTGTTGAAGTAATTTATGTAACTTATCTATTATGGAAATTAGATTTAGCGATTTCCATAATGATTTCTAACGTTGCTTTTGCTTTAAATCAGAATATTACAGGAGATCTTATATTTATGATGTTGCAAATAATCACGATATTTTTCTCGATTATTTTTTTTTTTTTCAGATAATTTCGATTTATCCTTTTATTTCAATCTACATAAATTAGTAATAAATTATATCCTTACCATACAGGATTAGAAATACTTGATTATTTCGAATTATCTCGTTTTACAGTACGTATCATCCCGGTAAAATGTTTCATCGATACTCTTTCACGATAATATTGAGGTTAGGTAATTAAGCTTTATAGGAACTCGTAGGTTTGTTCACAATAAGGTATACATCACGAGACGGTAAAAAATTAGACGTGGAAACAGACATTTAGGATACAATAAATTGTACGGTTAATAATCAACAGCAACGTTACAATCACGTATTCGAATCATTAAACGACCCACTCCACCTTCCTCGATCGTTTTCGAGTAGGCGATCATTCTTTCAACGATTTATCATTCTATTAATCATTCGATATTACGACATCAATTCGGCAATTCATTTCTTAACGCTGCTACTTTTCAATCAAGTCTTAATTGATTATTAACCGAGAATATTATAAAGACATTAGCGATTACGAATGAATCAAATGATGAATTAAATTACAGAGTAAGATGAATGCACAAATAAATCGGACCAACACGGAACATGAAAATATTATGCGAGCGATGCAGCTTGAATCAAGAAAAAGAAGATAAAAGGAATTTAATATTTATATAGTTTTGAATAGATTTTTAAATTAAACTATCATCATCTATCGATTTGTATTTTATATTTTATCGAATTACTTAGAATTTAGTTATCAGAAGATTTTAATTTTTGGCGTATTATAGAATAATTAAAAAAAAACTTTAAAAGCATATGTATTGTATAAATTTTCAAATCGAGGCATTAAATAAACTTTTAAATGCAGTATTATATTTCGAATAAAAGGACCTTAGAATTCCATATTCATAAATTAGATAACGTAAGATACAAAGTGTTAGTATATATATATTCGTAGAATTTGAAGAGTCGATTCTAGAGACCAAAATAAACACAAAATTTAATACGCAAAATTAGACTATATTTATATTTCAAAGTACACAAAAAGCTTATAAATACGCATAGACTCATTATAATATTTAAAATATAAATATTTTCGATAGAGATTTCACTCGATCTTTAATTGCTTGTAGATAAGCCTCGAATACTTACATACATCGACTCTTATATTCACATTGAATCAATCCTTCAACGATGCTTCATTTGTTATTATATTAACACTTGCGCAACATGGAGTTGCATTATTTCCTATCAGTTCCAATGATTTGAGAACAAGATCAAAAAAATAAAGATCCTTAAATAAAGAAGTAATTTTAAAAAATAGGCTCTTAACGCGTACACGATCTGTTATAATGTTAAAATATGAGAAGATCCTCCGTGTTACGATTTATCAAGTTGTAAAACGGCCAATGGATGTTAGCTGTCAGCTCGGCCAACCAACGATTTGTCATCCAGCCATGGGCTGCTGACTCCCGATACGCAACGCAGAGGGTTCCTGACTAACTAAGTTTCTTAGGATTCCGCGAAGACGGTTGGTGATGGCATTCTGTCACGGCTTTTACGTTACTGTCAGATCGATACAAGTGGCCGCGCAAAACTGAACGCGATAAAGGCGTGACAGTCAAAAAAAAGATGTCACTGCACTTTAGACGTCGTTTAAAGCGTGTGAATAATAGCTTTGAATGGATAACGTGATTTGAGGATATGCGACATCTTTAGGTTGCTCAGTTTCCTTGTCTCTAGAGTGGCAATTGAATGTGAATTGAACAAATGATTGATCTTGAACAGTTTTTTCTTGAAACAAACTGAGATTTGTAGTTAAATAAGTGATCTTATTTATGAATGGATTTATATTACTAAGAATTTGTAGAAAATTTGGAGTTAAGATTATTTAGTAGTATTTTGTTTTTTAAATATACTTGGATCCTATCCTGTCCACTTTAGATTTTGTCAGTCTTCTTGCTTTGAAAAATACTGAAAATATATAGAATTGGTTATTCATATTTCTGCTTCATTATCTAAAGATTGTTTTTTTTTAATTTTAGATATTAACATAATTTAAAAATAAAAAATTTGCAAAATAAAAATTCATCAAACTTCTTGATAAATTGGATAAATTACCTACTCTTTAGAAAAATTCGAGTTTCGAATTTCAAGTCTTTAAATTCGAATTTTTACGAATCTCTTCAAAAATCAAATTTCAACATTTTTCCATCATTCTTTTTTTTTTATTTAATCCATCATTATTTTCTCTGGAACTTCTGGAACTCGTTCTTTCACTCTTTCTCCATACAAGAATATCGTTTAAGTCAGTAGTTCAACAATGAGAAATTGGAAGCGGTAAACATATGAAAGCATATGGTCTAAGAGGCGCGTTTCCATGCATATTAAACAGAACCCGAAGAACTCGTAACTATTCCACGTACAAAGAGTAGCTTTTACGTGTTGGCTACCGGTAAACCACGTCCGTAATAGTCGTAATATTTATTTTTTCTTTCTTTCTTTTTGTTTTTTTTTTCCATTTCGCAAAGCTGACAATTCGCCTCGTGTCTTCGTGGATACGGATTCTTACAACTTTATACTCGTTGTGAATCTCGAGAAAGAGATGACATCTGGAAAACTATTCGAGTTGAACGTCCATCATTCGAACATCTTTCTTCTCGGTCAACGTTTTTTAAGGGGTAGACAAAGTTGGTGCATTATCCTTTCAATGTTACCATTGCCAAGTTCATACATTATCTTGGAGAATTTGCTTTCAAATTAAAAGCATCCTTAGAGCAACGTGATTTGAACTCGTTTCAGTGATAAGTATTGTAATACAATGGTTCTGTATGTTATCTCCAATTATTTTTTGTATTAGCAATTGATTCCAATTTGCGTGATTAAAGGTGAAGAAAATAAGTTTTTGGAATAATTCTTTTTCATCGAAATGTTTTTTTGAGCTGAATAAATTTTAAAGTCGTTCAAATACTTATGTCACTCGAGACATTCTATTCCTGAAATTGAAGAAATGATATGAAAGGATAAATACTTTAATCTTATTAAATGTAAAGATTCATTGAACTATAATAATTTTACATCATACAACTTTTAATTTATTTATATTAAAATATTTATATTAAAATATTATTCGAAAATTAAATTAATCTTACCTATCTCAAAACATGTAAACTTACAAATTTACATGTTATCACATAAAATTATATATTATCACATCCATTTTTATCTTTGTATCTTTCTGGTTTATCACTAAAAAAAATATAACGTTTTAATAAAAATTAAACAAAATTTCAGTATCGAAGCAAAAATTAAACAAATTTCAATAATATAAATTTCAATATAAAAATTCTTAAACGCCTTAATCCTCGATCCTCCACTTAACTTTGCTCGAGAATTCACGGCGTTCGAATATCGAAAACGACCTATCGAAAACTTGTTTCCCACTTACCAAACCAAACTGAACGAGAATAAGTAGCCGTTTAAATCCCTTTGGACGATGTTCGCGCCTTTTTTTCACGAGATTCGCAGGGAATTAAGGCGGTAAAGATATTGCGGAAAGATCGGCTTTCTTGGGTTTCAGGCTCGTTGGTATGCAGTCGGCTTAGTTTCTTGCAAATTCGCATTCTCTTTGCCGCTTGAAATGACGTTGGACAGCTTCCTCGTGTTTTCACCCTGTTTATGCATTATGCAAGCATGAAACCGAGATGTGAAGAAGAGAAGGGCAGAGAAACGAGATAATGAGAGGGCGGTCAATGATGCAGGTTTAATCGTCATTTGAAACACTTAAAGCCTTGTATCCACTGTTAAATTTCGATAAGAGATAATAGAGAATTGTGATGATTCTGATTCGTGAATTGGAATTTTTATAAAAAGTTAAAAAGTTATTAAGTTGTTTGTTATATGCAATCTTTAATTGGTATTGACACTATTATCTAAAAATGACATTATTATCTAAAAATAATTTTAGAATAGAAATAATTTTAAGAAAGAAAAAAAAATGTGAACCAAATTTAAAGTAGATTAAAGAAAATTATTATTTCAAAAGGATGATCATATATATTCATTTTGAAATATAAATAAATTTATAACGTACAATTAAAAATAAAACAAAAACTTGAAAAGATTCAAGAATTAGTAAAATTAATTTCATTAAATTTGGAAAATTAAATGTTGAATTTTATTATAGAAATCGTATAATCAAAATAATTTTATATATCGTTCAATGAGTGAATCGTTTAAAAACCATTCGTGAAGACCAGTGGATAAGCGGCTTAATGGTTGTTCCAAGCAGACGTCGTTGACCATCTTCACTGATACACGAGCTTCCCTCATTCTTTACCCTTTCGAACATCGTTTTACATACCATAAATCATCGTAACAATATTACTTGGGCATGTTAATTTGCTTCATATTTTTCACTATACCGGAAGCGATAAATCTGAACTGGTTTCTGGTGGACCCTTTTACATATTTTTTTCGAGGACTCCTTTTTTCACGGATAGGATAGAGTATTTTCGTCGTTTCGAGTTTTGATGGATTTGGGATCATTCGTTATTAAGAAGCTCTCAAGAATCATTCCTAATCGTTGATGATGGAAAGAGGGAACCAGAGTTTTACGAGATATTAGATTTATTGTTCTGCGTTGCTTTTATGGTTCTGTTGGCTCATCTTTATGACTCTCATTGCGGCTTTGATGTTGTTTTTTTATCTCTGTCGACAAGGTAATTCCATATTTGGTTAAAATTAAGTTGAAGTTAGTAAAAATTTATTATTATTTAACTTAGCAGATAAATATTTATGATTGACGAAAAATATAAATTGTATCATAATAGAAACTTGTTAAAATGATAAATTTTTTACTTTAATATATATTAAATATGATTATATATGTGATAATACAAAGTATATTAAAAATATGACTATATTAAACCTTAATTTTTATCATATTATCTTAATTATAGTCATTTTCTTTTTCATCAATACATTAACTTTATTTAAATATTGATTGACCTAATAGCAGCATTTTTTCGTTCAATTTTTTTAACTCCTCTCTTTCTTTCAACATTTTCCAAAAATTCTTGATTATAATTATATCTTTATTTTATTCAATTATTTACTTCACAGTTTTCACTTTACTATTTCCTGCAATTTAAATATATATTGTTAAATAAGTGTTAAATAAATATTCCACAATAGAACTTTAAAAAAAAAACAATAACAAAAATTTCATCCTCATAATATCTTTCCAATACGTGCTACTCTTTACAATAAGTTTTTTCGAAGAATCATTCATAAAATTCATCTCCATTCATTCATCTATGCATAACTTGTTCAAGGGACGCAAATCTGATGAATGTATTTTCCTTTTCATCATATTGCATAATACACACGTGTACTTCAAAGCAATCCTCTTAATCAAATGGTTCATGGCAATTTCGTTAAATAGCTGTTCAGTCCTGCTATTTGCACCAATTCATCGTTTACCGTTAAACAATCCTTACATACCAGATTCCGTTGCATATAATTACAAGTAGATTGGATACACAATCTCTCTTTCTCCCTCAATTCTCTCTTTCTTCTCGCCGCAAAATTCCGATCGTTATCTGATTGCTCAGACTTAAACGAAACTTATTACTTGTCGTGTTCTCTCGAGGTCCATAGAATTCGAACGACCTATAAATACCATCGTTCCTTCTCTCTCTTTCTCTTTTTCTGTTTCCCTTCAGTAGTGATTGCTTGATGCTTCTTAAGCAATGTTCATTCTTCGTGACAAAGAATTCGACAAATGCAAATTTTAAGTCATGTCACTTTTTCAATAAATGTGCTTAACAAGATGAACCGGACCTGTAAATAACATTTGTTCTATTATTTTGAATATAAATTATTATAGTATCGATACATTTTCAATTTTTTTATTATTTTGAAAGTATCAGCGTAATTTTCAAAATTTTTACTAAAAATTCGAAGCTTTAATACTAATTTGAATAATTTTATTATTTTTAACATTATAGTGATATCGATGCAGTTCGATATCATAATATATATCAACTTCAACTTTCTACTCTTTTAATACAAAATTCTCATGAACTGCTTGAAAATCATAAATCATAATCTCACTACGCTAATCTTTCCTTAGTTACGACCGCCATAGAAGGAGAGAAGACTTCTTCGGAAGCCGTGAATCAAGCGTAAAAGCGGTCTGACCTTTAGCCGATGCTGGACGTATAGTAAATTACCAAACGACAACCAGTCAGATAGCATCTGACACAACATTTTTACGGTTCTCGAGTCGGCATACTAAGGAGTCATTACTTAGTCATAATAGGATTAAGGGCGTGCTGATGCAATCTGTGGCGCGAACACCGACACAGGGAGAACTGACCGATCTTCTCTTCTCTGTTTCCTCCTATTCAAGTTATCATTGTAGCGATGGGATCAAGTATCTCACAGATAGATTCAGAACATTTGAATATGGATGTGAATAGATTATGAATCCATATGTTTATGTGTTTTGAAATTTTATCATTATCTCTTGATTTCCCACGTAATTATTTAAAATATATTCCTGAATATCAAAGAAGGAAAATAATTAATATATAAATAGAAATTTATCCATTACTATATGTTATTTTAGAGTAATAAAAGTTTATATTCAATCTACAGGATTCTAATTATCATTATAAATTATTATTTGACGTAGAAATTACGTCAATAATTATCATAAAATTGTCTTTAATATAACAAATTATACATAAATGTATTAAAAAAAAAAACATGCAATATTAATACATTACACATATGTGATTTCTATTATGTTTCAATTTTTTCCAAGATAAATGAATGATATCTTATTTATTTTCATTAGAAATATTTCAATATATTATAGATAATATATAATTATCACTAGTTTGATATTACAACACATAGTTTTTAATTATTTTAAAATTTTTTTTCAATTGGCAAAAATCATTATTATTAATCAATAGATCATTAAACGATCTAAATACCAATCTAGTGAAATATGTTTCAAAATTTCAACAAAAACAAAAAAACAGAACAAATCTCTTTTCTTTTCCATTAGTCACTCTTAAATTACAACTACAAAAATTCATTTCTTTAATATTCCAATGCAACACCTGTTCTATCTCTCTTCGTTCATAAAAATCATAATCGCGTCCACGATAAACAACTGTAAACATCATTTTCTTCTTTTCTATAAACATCAATATATCCACGATTAGTCTCAGTGCAATAATCGCAAATCTAATTGATCCGAGCCGGTAACAAGGTTTCGAATATCCAGCGTGACACGAGAGAGTTCAGCATCTGGTACAATTGCGAAATCGTTTTATTCACTCGTCCTACCTCGACCGGTTTTGTATTTTCACCAAACGAGAAACTGTTGCTAAACCTTTGTTAAGTGAACACAGGATCTCCAAGACGAACAATGAATCGTTGTCGTTCAAATAGTTTACCAGATAAGGAGAATGATTACCGATTATCTGATCCGGATTTGAGGTTAAGTTGTCGAAAAAGTCGAAATCAACGACTGTCGTGTGTCAATTATTTATCGTAAAGCTTAAGAATGGTTTAATTTCAATGAAATCGAGCTCAATGTATATAATACTTATAAATCTAGTCAAATTTAATATTAAAGATTTCTTTTATAGGAATGCGAAGTGTTATTAGAAATGAATTTAATAGATTATTCTAATGTTTGCAAAGTTGGTAGTTTCGAATTTTAGAATGGCTATTTGTTAGTTTTAAGAAATTTGCAAAGTTGGTAGTTTCGAATTTTAGAATAATTATTTATTAGTTTTGAGAAATTTAATTATATTTTCTTCTATATTATAAAAATTTTTGTTATAAATAATGATCGAATTATGAAAGTTAAAAAAATGTATTTTATTTTTATTATTGAGAACTATCTATAATTATCGATTAAACGTGAAATTTCTAGTAAATATATATTCATCAAATTTCAAATCAATTCAATCAACATTCGATTTTACTTTTAATTAATCTTTTCATTTCTAAAAATAATTAGATACAATTAATTAGGTCATGAAAAACTTATAGAATTTATTCCAAATTCCACTATTCTATTCATTAGAATAGGTTATTTCGTCAAATATGTAATTTTACTAAATTGATACATTTATAAAATTTTCTCATGATACTTCATGATATTGAAATAGTACAACAAAATATTTTTATTCATGTACGATTTATAATTTATTATATTTATTTATAAAATATTACTTGCCTTATTATCAAATTTACGCAACAAAATTTATTAGCATTTTTTTCTTGTAACTCATAAAATTTCTTTAATAATATTATTAATTAAATTGCGTAGAATATTCTGGTTTCGAACAGTAGAGGTATGCTGCGTCCATTTTCATTGTCACTGCCACACGATGTCAGACATATTTGTTGATTCGAGATCGCATCGAGAAATCGATTTATTGAACGACAGCTATAAAGATTGTATCGATTTGTGACTCGTAACAGAAGAATACGAGTATTCTAAAAGAACTGATGTCATGTTGATTTTTCTGCTCAGAATACGAACGAAATAATTTTTTAATCTATAGTTTCGATCGATCGAGGCGTGGACAACCTCGATCGAGATTGTGACATTGCGTTAATTGACGGGAATTTAGATTAATTGTCGCATAACGAGAAATTGTAGATTTATTGGCAATAAATCTTATTTTTTTGTTCGTTTTCACTGGTTTCCAGAAAGTGTTGGACGGGTTTCCGTGTTGCGTGTAATTTGGATCGATGCAAGATCGATAAATATTCTCGATATATTAATGTCGTTAGTACTAAACGATGATTTGTAACGTGAAGACGATTTTTATAATTCATTTTTGTGAATTATATCAACGACCGTGTCAATATATATCATATATCAATGTACGTATTTCAATAATTATATCAATATATTTATTAGTTGTATTATCAATTTATAATTATTATCTATTAACATGTTATGTTACGTGAAGTAGCTAATATTATATTATATTATTTTCCGTAGTTATTATTTCGAAGTTCATCAATTAAAATAAATAAAATTAAATATGCAATTAAACGAAACATGTTTGCCTTGAAATAAAATCGATCTAAATTAAGAACGTACAATTTTTTGCATCGTCATAATTAAGAAATATGATTAAGTGACTCATTTCGCGAAGAATATTCTTCATATTTTCTTTAATCACTTTTCCTTCATCATTATATTAATTAATAAAAATTTATTCCATCTAATTCATGTAATCTATCATATTTAATTCTATATTTTATAAATAATTTTATAATTTTCTATCATAAAAAAACAATAGAACTTTTTTGGTTATCTAACATTTCGATAGTTTCATCAAATGGCGGTAATTTCAAAATTGATTATGCTATCGTTATAAAATTTATTTAAGTATCTTATTCTAATAGTCTATAAATAAATAATCATGTTATAACAATTTTATTCATATTTCAAACATTTGTTCGTATAGCAATTCACCAATTTGTAAATATTAATAATATTTGCGATATAAAGCGTAATATCTATGGCCATATTCTTAAGTCATTTTCATTCCTTGTTCTCATCCTTTTTTCCTTGATTTGTTGAGCTCATGTACAATCCATCTTGTTCGGCACGTGCCGAGGGCGATGAGCGAAACGCTCGTTCTCC